GAGAGGTCATTAGGATTTCAAAGGAGATTGGTGAATGGTGTGCCACTTGTGCCTGCAAAAGAAAACCATGACAAGGACTAATGATTTTGTAGGTCACATTTTTAATTTAATACCCAAAAATGACACAACATAACTCTTGATGATCACAACTTTGAAGTATCAAAGTTTTCAACTTTTGATTTTCTATCTTTATTGTATTTCATCTTTCTTAGTTATTTGATTTTTAAATGTTAATTAGTAAAACCATTACTATTATTTTTCTTGGAATTAGTTGAACGTATCGCTTTGAGCCGGCTCATTTTATTTCAAAATTGTGAGAAACTTTAAAAAATTGAGTTTGAACTTGGCTGGACTTGACATGATTATAAAATTTTGAAGTTGACTCGACTCCTTTAATAAAATTCAGCTCAATCCCATATTTACGTTTAAGCTCGAGTTTTGTCTTGTGTACAGGATGACTTTATTCATTTAATAACATAATTTTGCCATGGCAAAAAGTTATGATAGATAAAAAGTAGACAAATGTTTGTCGTGCTCGTTAACATATGTTATGCGTTCAAGGGACTAAGGGTCTGTTTAGTAACAGGAATAATTCCTGATTTCTACTGTCGGTTCATAAAATTGAGAATCAAAAGTAAAAATCATGTTTAATAAAATACTTTTACTTTTAATTTTAAGAAAGTACTTTTTAATTTTGTGAAGAGAAGAGAAAGTGAGAAATCCTTACTTTCTCTATTTTCTACACTGTTCATTGAAATTACTTTCTCTACTGTAGCATTTATCAAAAAAAAAAAAAAAAACCTCGTTGTAGCCCATCAAAACCCCTCTTTTGCTCCTCATCCTCGAGCCCTAGCCGACTACAACTACTGCCACAACCATCAATTTTCACCCCTCCTCCTATCTCTTTCTACCCCATCACCCACCCCTATTTTCTCTATGTTTAAAATCAACACAAAGACCTGTTGTTCATTGGTTTAATTTATGAAGATGGTGATTTCAGGCTCCGATGACCACGGTTATACAGATTCCGGCGACGAAGGATTCACAATTCCGGTGACGACAACCTACAATTTCGAGGACGGAGATGTTGTGATTATGTAATTCCGGTCGTGGGTTTGGTTTTTGTTCCTTGGATTAGGACTTGGGTTCTCTGTGACTAGGTTGCAGTGGCGGCTAAGGTGTCGATGGTTTGAGTTTTGCAGTAGGCGGTGATGGGTGGTGGTGATGGAGGTTTTGGGTAGAGGTGGTGGTGTTTCCACTTGGCAGTCGGCGACAGTAGCTCTCTGCTACTGATTTTTTTATTTTTTATTTATTTTTTTTTCATTTTTAGGGTTGCAGTGTTTCTGTGTTTTGTTTGGTGTAAATTGGTTTAGGTGTTAGTAATGGAGGTTTTGGGTAGTGGTGGGCAGGGGCCATGCTGATAGTGAATTTGGGTTCAATTCTGGTGAGTTACAAAAATGAGAGAGAAGGATTGAAGAAATTTTGTACATACAAAATCAAAATTATAATTATTGAACTTGCTTTCTAATTTCTTGCATTGAAAATATTGAAAGCATGAAAAATTAAGGCTGCGTTTTGTAACGAGAAACGTTTCTTGTTTTCTATTGTCAACATCTAAAAAAGCAAAACGAAAACAAAAATTGCGTTCAATAAAATGTTTTTATTTTTTTATAATAGAAAACGTTTTCAATTTTTGTGAAGAAAAGAGAAAACATCAAAATGATGTTTCTTATATTCGGCATGTAGCAAATAAATGTTTTCACTAATGTTTCTGCACATACACTATTCATTTAAAATAAAATTCATATTATTTGTGTTATATACTACTAAGTTGCATATTAAGTGTTAATAAAAATATATATTTTTATTATAGAATAAATTAAATATTGTATATTATTTTTTATTTGATAAAAATATATTTTAATATCTAATGTATTAAATAATAATGTAAATTATTTTTTGTGACAAAATAATTTTTTATATAGAATATAATTTTATTAAATTATTAAGTAGTAGATATTTTATATTATTATATATCATATCTATATTATATTATTGTAAATATTAAATTATAATTAATTTACAATAGTATAACACAATATGTATTTTATTACATATAAGATATATTATTTAATATTTTTTATTCATAATAAATTATCATATGCTAAATATATTATATATCACATAATAAATGAATGCATCATGCACATACATGTATTTATATACAAAACTAGTGGGAATGTTTTTGTCTTTGTATGTCTAATTTTGTACTTATGATGCATTAGGTATTTTTAAGATTTATAATTTTAAATTAGATTTTCTAAATTTATGTTTTTTTGATATTAATGGAAGCAAGTGTCGTGCTTGAGTGGTTGAGTTGCTCTGTGTGTCCGAGTCCGTGTTCAAGTCATCTACCTTCCCCCTTACCTTCCTCTCTAATCACTAACTCCTAAAAGTCTTGCCATGAAAAAAATTAAAAATTAAAAATTAAAGAATATTATATACATTTTTTAACAAATATGTTGTATTACTAAACATAGTTATTGTTTTATATTTTTAAATTTGTGACAACGACAAGTGTTAATAAACATCATTTTTGTTTTCTATTTTCATTCAAAAAAAGGAAAATCATGTTTCTACTTTCTTACGACTGCAAAAATAGAAAACGAAAACGTTACTAAACGCACCGTGAACATGATTCTACTTCATATTTCAACTTTAGAATAAAAATTATGATTTTACTTTTGAATAAAGTAAAAGTAAGAAAATGAAAGTGTTAGTAAACGGACAAATGAGCTGCACTGGAGATGGTTAATTTATTAAAAAGTTTATATAATCAGCTTAAAACAAATGAGCTTGATTACGCTAAAAACTTGCAATTCTAATAGGTTTAAGGCAACATGCATAAAACTTCATGAGCTATTTTTTTTTTGGGTCAAGTGCAAAAAACACTTTTAAAGTATACTTATAGTGCATATCACACTCTTAAAGTTTCAATTTGGTGCAAATAGGTGACAAATTTAAACCCTAAGTTGACTAAATTACCCTTACTGAACCATTTTATAAAAAATATAAAAATAAATAATTTTATAAAATGACACTATCGGAGGACGCCGACAATGGACAAGTAAAGAAAAAAATAAATAAATAAAGTGTAAACTAAAGAAAACAAATCTGCTCCAAACTCAGAAAACCAGTGTAAACTGATATTGATAATTTATTTTTTTTGTTTAACAATGTTGGTAAAATAAATAAATAAAGAAAAAAAGATTTCGTAGAAAACAGTAAATTGAAATTTTAAAAAATTCAAATCCTTATTCTACAAATTCTCAAAGTTTAAAAAAAAAAAAAAGTTTAGAGACATATATAGAAAAAAAGTTTTTAAAAATATATATATATATAAGGTAATGTATACATAACACCCCCGTAGTATGAAATTAGTAGCATATATACCCTTTTGAGAATTTTAGGAAGAGTAAAAGTGCAAAACGGGTATTATAATACTAAATTATGTCAGATTTTATTATCGGGAGTATTTTTGCACAATGTGAAAAGATTAAAAGTATATTTTGTACACTTTTTCAAACAGTGAATAAAAATGTACGGAAAATATACTTTAATGGTGTTTTCCGCACTTGTCCCTTGAACTATCTAACGCAGGCAAAAATAAATAAAAAATCTCTCCAACTATCAAAATCCTTTTCAATTACTCCCTCGCTTCTATTTACCATTAATAAATGTAGTAGAAATACTAATTTGCTCTTAAGTGAGAAATAGAAAAAGGGCAAAATGCAAAACTTTCCCCAACTATCACTTTTTGGCAAATTAATTTGGCATGAAACTCCTAAACCATGGAAAAGTTTGTAATCACCCCTCACTTTGCCATTAAAGTAAAAATGATTCTGTTAACAATTTAATAAATTTACTAAAATACCTTTAAAAGAGTTATAGAAAAAAAAATCAAAAAATACATATGCGCACTTATTTATTTAAGGCTGAAGGAAAATAATAAAAGTGTTGATTGTTTTTTAAAAAATGACTTGAGCATTAGAAGGGAGAGAGTCATTGTTTTTCTACCTTGGCAGCAAGAAATTCACAGAGGCACTTATGGACACTTGAATCTTAAGTCACACAATCCTATAAGTGCACTTGAATTTTAAGTTACACAATCTTTCTAAACGAATGCTGCTCCCACTATTACACGCTCTCGCTCATATTTTTACTATGGAAAATGATCTTGCACGAATAGTTGCAGTCAATTGCTAGATATATTCTTTTCATTAGTCAATAATGCAACAAATAAGAAAGTAGAGACCTCCACTTAGTTTTATTTAGTATAAATAGCCAATTATCAAATAATTACAGTGAATTGCTAAACATACTATTTTAATTAGTCAATTATGCAACAAATAAGAAAGTAAAACCCTCTACTTAGTTGTATTTAGTATAAATAGCCAATTAAAATTTATTTAATTAGGCAATTCACTACAAATGTTCAGCGTGAGAATATTACTACTCTTTCACTATTTGTTACTTAATTTGCTTTCAGGCTTCCACTCTCAAATTTGCTCTATCTCTTCCTGTTTCGCCTTCTTTATATGACTTAACTTGAACCCCTCGACCATATTTATATTGAAAGGCGAGAAAATACAAAAATGTATAGAGTTATTGTGGGCAGTGCTTACTACAGTATGTTTTGGCAAAGGGATAACTAAGTATATGAAGGTGATTTTTCCATATAAAAACTAAAGTTGCCTCTACAAAATTTTTGCAAAACTTAATGTATGGTATTAAATTGGTGATTTTCTATATAAAAATTAAAACTAGCCTTCCAAAAAAAAACTTTAAAAATTCTATTTGTGGTTACCTTATAGTTATTGGATTTACTTGTATCCTCCACACGGTCCAAAAAATTGCTTGCTTTAAAAAATTTAAATTTAGTAAAAAAATTGTTATTTATTATGGTAATCTTTATTGCAATATATAATAAAAAAAAGAAAAATAAAAAAAGCGCACACGAAGCTCTCGCTCTCGTTCTTGAGTCTACGTCTCTCTTTAATGGCGAAAAGGAAATTCTTGTCACATATCATATATAAAACGGCTGCTATTTTACGTATATACATATCTAATCTACAATAACATCCTCTGCATTGGAATTGCACAGAGCGAGGACAGAGGTTTGCTATTCGTCCTCTTCTCCATTCTGTATTTGTAAGTATCGCAAGCCTCGAACTCTTCAACTTACTGTCCTTTCGATTTCTGTTTTGTTCGATTAAACTGATTAATTTTCTTTTTCTGCTGAACTTTGTGGTTTCGATGTGTGATTTTGTTGGAAATTTGTTTGTGAGTGAATGGATCTGCTTCGAAATAGTAGAATCTCGGTCGAGGTCTTGACCTCTTTTGGTGAACTTGATATTGCTTATTCTTTTCTTTTTTCTTGATTACTATGTTGATTTTTTTCTATAAATTCTATATTATTGGAGGTTTATTGACTAAGAACATAAATAGTCTAGGTGTAGGGTTTAAGGTTTGGAAGTTTCGCAACACCAGTAGGCTTGGCGGCTGAAGCCCAACAAAATGTGTCTTGCGAAGCATATTATATGTTTGTCCCTATATGCAAAATCTACTCCTGTATAAATTCTTAGGCAGATTGGTCCATATGATGCAAATAATATATATTCTTTAAGATTTTTAACTAACTAATGCGCTGAGACTATAGCTTTGGATAGAGCTAGGATTCTTATAATCAATCCCAAGTAGCTGGAAAAAGGCTGCATTGAGTTAAGTAATATTGATGAATAAAAAAGGAAAAAGAAAAAAGAACAAGAACAAGAAAAAGAAAAAGAAAAGAGTGGAAAATAAAGTATTATTTTAAAAATAAAGTTTGACAAATTACAGTATGAAAAAGAAGTGTTTAGATCGAATGGAGCTTGCTTGGATTGGCCACACAATTCTAGCATTTATTTTTATAAAAAAACCTAATAATCGTAGTTGCCTGTGTTCAACTTACACTAGAGCCTAGCGTTGCCATACATAAGCCACATGTCCTACAAGATCCATTATCTATCATAAACATCATTAATTTATCAAATCAAAACTAATAGAAACTAGTTCTTTATTTTCATCTTAGACGAATCAAAAATTAATTTTGTTTTTATCTTCTATATTTCAAAATTTGAAAATTATGCGATGTTTCTTTATTTGTCACACTGTCCATTCTGGAAGTGGCAAGGTATATTTCAAGGAGTTGGGTACATGTATAGAAGCATCTGTCTAAATGTCGAACCCCCCTAAAATCCAATTCTTGATATATGAGGATGTGGCTAAAATGTCTCTAAAAGTTGAATATGGGTAGGTAAACAAACACCTTCAACACTTTTTTAAATACATTATATCTTGCTCCCTCTATCCAAAATAAGTGTCCCTTTTAGAAATTTCAACTTTTTAAGGGGACATTTATTTAGTGCATGTCTCCCTTTTGAAATTCCAAAACTAACCCTTCAAAATTAAAAGATAAATTTTTAATTTGGAAATAAACTCAAAACTTAAGGATTGTTTAAGGAAGTTTCAAAATTTATTTATTGACTGTTCAAAAGGGACACTTATGTTGGGACATCCCAAGATAGAAAGATGGTTTGGGATGGAGAAAGTGTATAATAGTGTAATATATGATGTTATTGTTCAAGATATATAAAAATAGAATTAAGTTTAATGGGATGTGATGAAAAAGGGTTTCCATCTATCTGTCCACGTGACTTTGCTTTCAAATCTGAACTTTTCGTCATCTTCTGTCATCACATGTAGAGGAACTGAATTTCTATTTGGATTTGTGTAAGGCACATTCCATATCAATGTTCATGTTGCGTTGATATTGGTATCTTGAAGGGAATAGGAGAGTCCATGTATTGTAGGTTATTAGAACCATCTTTTTTTTTTTTTTTTTTAATTTGTTCAAAACATATGTAAATTATTTTCTTATTATAATCCTTAGTTATTTAAGGATGCTGTTTGACCACTTACTGAGAACTAAGCTTAGATGCACGCCAGGAACACCGGGGTGTGCCTGTATGGGATATACCAAACAACCACCTACGCAGCTATAAAAGTGAACCTAGACTAGTCCCAAGTATTGCCTACACAAGAATTTGACTTCTTCTTCTTGAAGGCACATAAAGTTGCAACGATCATAAACATGTAAAATTCTTTGCTATGGTATATTACATGGTGATTTTGATGTTAGACGGTTTTGGAAATCGATGAGATTAGACAGTGCATTCTATGGTATATTACATGGTGCTTTTGATGTTAGATCCTATTTATTGGGTGTTTTGGGAAGTGATCATCAGGGGTTCCATGGAAAGATATTTGCTGCAGGAAAGCTCCTCATGTAGTACCTTTTCTTGGGTGGACGACAGGATTTGGGAAGATTTTGGCCATTCACAATCTCTTAAAGAGAAGGCAGATATTGTCATTTGGTGTTGTATGTGCAATAGAGATTGATTGGGCTCTTTTTATTGTGTTCTCTTTAGGGTTTATTGGATGATGCCCAGATTGGATGGCAGGGATATGCTTGCCAGTTGGAGAGGTGCTGAATTGAGGATGGGAGGTGGTGAGGTTTGGTAGATAGCTCTGCTTTGTCTTTGACAAGAGGAATTGGAGGTCTTTTGGAAAGTTATCCCCTATTTGGGCTCTTAAGTATACTCGATGAGCTCTCTACTTTTTGAATTATTGGGAGTTTATCTTTGTTAACTGATTCTTTTGTAGAGATTTTGAGAAAAATTGAAGGCATATTTTTGTATTGTTTTGTTGTGCGCATGGATGCACCCTGTTTTGTTACTTCTTAATGGAACATTGGATTTAATTTTTCGGAAGGTACATGTTTAAATTTTGTCTAATGTAACCAAATGATAATGTAACTAGGCTACTAGTCTAAAATTTAAAATCATAGATTGAATGTGAGTATCCTACATCTCATAACTCGAGGAGTGAAAAGTGGCAAAATGCTCTTCTCTGTCTAAGCTTTGACTTTTTGAGGATCCCTAACAATACACTGCCAAATCATCAAAACATTATGGTGCTTTCCTTGAGCCAAGTTTGTGAATTAGCCTTTGTGACTGCAAGCCTTTGAATTACCATTTTAAGACCTTGTTAGTAGTTGAGACTGGCTAAAGGGCAAAGTTCAATGGATATGTTTGACATGATTTCTGTCATTTGCATTATTAATTTGTTATCATTTTGAGTTGCATCATAATCACGACATATGAATTGTACCGTATCCTTGATACGTTTCTTTCTCTCTCTCTCTCTTCCTTCTCAATGTATTACTTTAAAGATACTTTTGATATTCAATCATGATATTTCCTTTCTTGAATAGTGAACAGTTAAAAATCTGGTGATGAATTGAATGCAGTAGATGAAAATGTCTTCAGCGAGCAAGGCAGATCAGAAAGCGGTTCTTGATACAGCCGCATGGATGTTCAATGTTGTCACCTCTGTTGGAATTATTATCGTCAATAAAGCATTAATGGCTACATATGGTTTCACTTTTGGTATGTTTCTTTGAACTATTGTGTCCAAATAATGTCAAGAGAAGAAATTTCAACTATTGCAGTCTTACTTCCGGGTTCATCATTAAACCCCTATCTTTTTGTGTTAATTATGTATGAACTTACAAAACACATCAGGATGAACTTACAAGTGGAGATCTAGTAAAGATTGAGGTTCAGGATATGCTAAGTGGTGAACTATCTATTTCATTTCCTAGGCTAGATTATTCAAAGAAATGGAAAGATAAGAGATGTTGATGGTGATAAAATTAAAGATTGGTTAATTCGATGAGTGCCTCTGACATTTTATGTAATCAATGTACAGCTCTATATATAAAAGGTAAATTTTATAAAACAATTATTAGGCCAATCATATTTTACGGTACAGAATATTGGGTGACTGAAAAATAGTATGCTCAAAAAATACATTTTGTGAAAATGCAGTTGTTGAGATATATATGAGAAGACAAGAAAGGATAAAATTAGAAATGGTTACACCTGTGACATGGTTGAAGTTGGACCAGTTGGAGATAAAATGAGAGAAACGACTAAGATGGTTTGGCCATATGCAATGAAGACCAATAGCTACACCAATGAAGAATACTGAAGTGGTCCAAATCAAGGGTAGTATTAGGGAAAATGGAAGACAAAATTAACATGGGTTAGGGTCATCATCATCCTTGCCTTGATCCCATATGAATGGGGTTGGCCACATGAATTCTCTCTCTCCAAGCTTTTCTATTACATGCCAATTCACCTACTATATTTAACATGGGTTAAGGTATTAGGAAAAAATATGATAGCATGTGGTTTAACTGAATTTATGGGTCTTAGAGCAGCAGAATGATGAAACAATATTAATGTAGCCGATCTAGGTTCTGTTGACTTGAAAGATGAGATGCAGTTCAAATTTAAGCATGCAACAATTGTATAGTCAAATTTTTTATTTCTTCTTTGCTGCTGAATTGATCTCGATTCATATCATGTTTGGAAAGTTCCTGTTCTAGAAAGTAGTTAATGTGAGAAATAACAAATCTTGGCATTCTGTTCTTTATTTTGTTATCCTGCAGCAACAACATTAACTGGTCTTCATTTTGCCACAACCACATTGATGACGGTTATTCTTAGAAGACTGGGATATATTGAAGCTTCCAATCTACCATTATCTGAGATTTTGAAGTTTGTTTTGTTTGCAAACTTCTCTATTGTGGGAATGAATGTGAGTTTAATGTGGAATTCTGTGGGATTCTATCAGGTCAGTTTTTGAGGATCACAGGTTTTTTGCTCCTTTTGTCATTAAAATGTCTTGAAGTCATGATATATCTTTTCTTTCTGGGTTATCAGATTGCAAAGCTGAGTATGATTCCTGTATCTTGTTTTCTGGAAGTTGTCTTGGACAAAATACAATACTCAAGGGATACTAAGCTTAGCATAGTGATAGTTCTCCTGGGTGTTGCAGTCTGTACTGTTACCGATGTGAGTGTCAATGCCAAGGGTTTTATTGCTGCCTTCGTGGCGGTTTGGAGCACTTCTCTGCAGCAATATGTAAGTTTATCTTTCCACGGGAAATATGATGTTACCTAGATGTCAAGGGGGAACTTTAATCTAGTACATGCTGTCATGGTCCTATGAGGACAGGTTTGGGCATTTCGTATGATTAGGCCGGGGCAGGTTTTGGGGCAATGTTACCAGCCCCAAAACCTGCCCCAGCCTGGAATTGGGGTTATTATTATATATGTATGTATTTTTAATATAGTTTTTGGTATATAAATTATTATTCGATTCACATTCATATGGAAAGCTGCTCCATTTTACCCCTGTTCCTAGTAGGAATGAGTCCAAATCATGTTCCTTTAGTGCTCAAAATGGGTGATTTAAACCAGAAATGTTTAGGGTTGCCTTATAGGAATATTGTTACGTTTCTTTCTTTGAAGTCTGTCTTATTTAAATTATAGATTATGCTCTGATTTCCCCATAATTGACTGGCATGTGTTTTTGGTTGTTATTTCCCTTATTTTGCAGTATGTGCATTTTCTTCAACGGAAGTATTTGCTAGGCTCTTTCAACCTATTAGGGCATACTGCTCCAATACAAGCTGCATCTCTGCTGTTAGTAGGGCCCTTTATGGACTATTGGTTGACAAGTAAAAGGGTTGACACCTACGACTACACTTTATTATCTGTGGTAAGTATGTTGTTGCTGTATTAATCCAAGGTTCACATAATGATTAACAGCTAAGCCGGATTTTGTTCTTGCTAATTATTTCATGTCACTGTCACTGGTCATGTCCTTCCGGGTGGCACTTGCAATTGCTTTTTGCAGTGCCTGAAATATCTATACCTGTGCAAAGAGAGATCCGGTAGGACTGTCTTTTCATAAGGTCCTCTCGAAAATCAGCATGGCAAGGGAATTGAACCAGAAGTAAGGTTTTGTGACATGCCTGATTTTTGAATAAAGGACCAAAGATAGGATGGTCCTGCTGGATTTTTAGGCTGCACGTTTTTCTCCATTTGCACGCATGCATTGACATGCTCCTTGTTTGTCAACTGCTGTTAATGATCTGCTGGGCTTTTCTGTGTTGTATGCAGATGTTCATAGTCATATCATGCATCATCGCAATTGGGACCAATCTCAGTCAATTCATCTGCATTGGCAGATTCACAGCAGTAACCTTCCAAGTTCTTGGCCACATGAAGACTATTCTCGTTCTGATCTTAGGATTCATATTCTTTGGGAAAGAGGGTCTTAATCTACATGTAGTTCTAGGTATGATCATTGCAATAGTGGGAATGATTTGGTATGGCAATGCCTCATCTAAGCCCGGAGGAAAAGAGCGATGTTCTTCACCAATCATCAAACCTCTGAAACAGGATGGATTATCAGAATCCGGTGAGCTTGAAGAAAAGGTCTAGAGTAGCTCACTGGAATTGAGGAATATAATAAAAAGGGTTGAGCATCTTGGTTAAGCGAATTCAAAAAGTCTATTATACATACAACTGAAAGGTCAGATTTTTATATATTATTTTTCCCTCCATGGTTCTTTGTATCACACGAGCTGTAAAATTTGTCATTTTCCATAATCATGTTTTATAGTAATTTATTTCAATCCATCTGTCTCTCCACTCCTTTATTTTTTTCCCTTCTCAGTGGATGTATTTGTTACATAGAATTCAATCCTATTTGTGATCACACTGACAGTTTGATAAGTAGTCCAAGTGTGTTCGAGGACCTTCTCATTTATAACTTTTTACAGATCTCAAAAACTTCTCGATCCAGTGGTTAGTAAGATGGAGAACTCGTGCACTTGTCAATCTCGTGCTCTTGTCATGAGGGGCTCTTTTGATAGCAATTGTCTATGATTAAACAACTCTTGGTACTCGTACTGGTACATGAACATTAAATAGTCGGACCCAATCGAGATACATTACACCAGTCCATTAACACGGGACTTGAATCACTGACCTGGGGAAGCAATACAATATTTGGAATGATGCATTCATCATACAAACATTGAATCTGTAATTTATGTGGGTATTGATTATGTTTGGCACCTGCTGCACACGTGCATGTGCTCAGCAGTCAAGTCACAATAATTTGTGGGCCTCTTCCCATAATTGAACACATATTTATTTGCCTCAAACTATACAAATTTGTAGCTTTAAAGGGATGCTCCTTAGGGTTTTAGGGAGATTATCTCAATGATTGGCTTTGTTGATACTGTGTTTGGAAAAGTGAAATAACAGAAGAAGAGAAGTTCCATTTGATTGAGAAGAGAAAGTGGATGGAAAATAAAGTAAAGGGAAAAGATAGGGAAGATAAAAGTGGAATGACTATTAAAATTTTCTTTTGTGTCTTATCTTGGTTGACAAGAGAAAATATTAGCAAAAAAGATGAGGTATAACAAGGGAAGAGAAACATCTTGTCACCAATTATTTGATTGAGAAAAAAATATTTATAATAATGTTTTTTTTCTTCTTTTCTCGCATTCCAATGTTAAAGTTCAACAACTAAATATTTTGTCTCTCCTGAATGAAATGCTGTTAGGTTTTGACGTCATTGAATCCTCTCGCTTTAGTAAGGGCAACGAAAGTCAATTATACAGAACACATCCCATGAAATAGTTATTACTTACATAGTAAATTAAATTTGATTACCACAAATTTGCATGACAAAAAAAAAAAAAAAAAAAAAAAAACATATTTTTTCTTAAAATCACTTCCTCTATAATTTTCTATCAAGCCAACACCTAAATTTTTATTTAGTTATTACTCTATTATTTTTGAAAATCAGTTCCGGGAATATTTTATTTGACAATAAATCTTCTATAAAAGCTTGACACTAATTGTATGCATACGTCTTATTTTTTTATTTTTTTTAAAAAATAAAAAAATAAAAATACACACATAATTAATGGTACAAATTAATCCAACGTCTTCTTCAATCTATTATACTGATGTTGTTGTATTTTGGTTCTGTTCCTCTTGTGAGCTGGAGACAGGCTTGAGGCTGGGCCTGTGGGCAAGTTTCATTAAATCTTGAACAGGCTTGGCCCGACCAGTGTGGTACAACTGAAGGGTAGGCCCATGGATGGCCACCAGTCTCTCTCTCTCTCTCTCTATATACACACAGTGACACACGCATACATAATATATATATATATAGGTATGTACTGTTACTACTGTATCATATGGAAATAATTTGGTAGGGTCACTCCACCTCTCATGTCATCTTTCTCGTGTGGCATTGATTTTTCATTCTCGTCTCTCTTTTGTTCTCTCCACTAATTCAGAGAAGACAAAAACAGGTAGTGAGACCCACAATCTCTATCTCCAACCAACATAAAGCACAATTTAGTTATACAACCCTTCTTTCTTTATTATTATCATTTCTGTGTACATCACATAATTTTATGGGTAAAGTGCAAAATAAATAAATATGTATATGGAATGCGCAAATACTTTTTAGTATTCAGAAACAAATTTACTATATTTTTAAATTAGTAAATAAGATAATTTTGTCAATTTGAAAACTAAAATTTTTAAAATGCTCTTAAGAAGAATAATAATAATAATATTGATTTCAATTTTTAAAGATATATTAAGTGTATTTTGAGTTTTTATAAAAAAAAAAAAAAATTGGTCAAAATTGATAGCCATCATATATTAAAGGAAAATTTGCATATATTTTCAAATGTTAACACATATTAAATAGCCGAATGCTTTTTTGGCGCAATTTTTATGTAGCAGGTTTGTTTGTTTTTTTTTAACCTAATTTTATATGGCTTATGTTAACTATGCTAAAAAGGTTTTAAGTTACGATGTATTCTCACGTGTTTGTTTGGTTGTTTAACGTATTTTGATGTTAATAAGCATCATGTTAACTTATATTAAAAAAACAAAAAGTTATTATGTCTCTTCACCTGTGATTAATTTAAAAAAAAAATAAAAAATTTTACAAGTGTTTCAATTTTAGTAAACAGAATAAATATAAATTTAATGTTAATAACCATTAATTTAAAAAGTTTTAGCTGTTGAAAGACAATGTAACTTAATATCTGTACATATTCCCTTCTTATCCTAGGCACCCTTACTTTGTCGTCCTTCTCAAATCCCAACTAATTAACAATTCCCCCAATTTCTGCTCCAATGTAATCCAACTACTCAACTAGTGAGACCCACTTTCTGTGTGTGTACACACACACACATATATATCTCAATATCTCTTCAGACTTCAATAATTGTGTTATTTCTCGAAGCAGAATTCCTTCAAGTGCATTGGACAATTTTGTTCACTTTGAATCAAGACCACAAACATCAAATACTGCAGCTCGTGCAACTTATATAATTCTACCATTAAAACACAATAATATTATTTATTTATTTATTACGTTGTCGATTTAACAAAATTAGGTGGTGTTGCATTTGTCGAATTGCAAAGAAAAGTACGTATCGAAGAGGATGGGTTATTGGGTTTCATTGTTTGCCACATTTTCATTCCCCGTGTGACGATCAATAAAACTACAATGACACAGAGAGAGACATTTCTCATATTTGTGCATAAATGTTGGTATGGAGTAGTAATGTTACTAGTGCAACAGTGACAGGCTGGACAAATTGTCGGGGATGATTGGTCAAAGTGGAAACGAATGGTACAACAATTCTACGTGTCTAGTTGGGCCACGTCAGCCTTCCGGACAAGTCCACGTGTTGATCTGAGGTGGTGGGTCCCAGCTCCATTTCCTTCATCACCACCTTTAACTTACCCATCTCTGTCTCAACTCTCAAAATTTTCAGTGCCATTTATTCAGAGCGGATGAGAGGATCATCAAAGTGGGGCCCAAAGAAAATGATATACATTGTGGGCCCTCTCTCTCTCTCTCTATATATATATATATACACATTTCTAGAGAGAGAGAGAGAGAAAGAGACCAGGAGAGAGATGGTGACAGAGTGGACAGTCATATCAGCTTCATCATCTATAAGAAGAAATTCTAAAAGCTCCTAGTGAAATTAGCTGCCATGAGTGGTTCATACTCGCTGTTTCCGTTAGCCACGTGGCTAAGTGTAAGAAGATTCGTAGCATCTCTGATTGAATGTGCGTAACATCCAATCATTGTCCTTGAAAAGTTCAGAGCGGTAAATAGATTTTTGGGACACGTGTCAGTAGCATCAAGCGAGTCCGGGATACAAAATGAACCAATGTTTTTCAGATTCACCATCTCTATACCTAAGAAATACGTAGTATCCAAATACCACACCATAAAGCTACAATTTATTTATTATTATATTTAACAAACAATATGAAATTTATTCACTTATATTACGTTTGGATCATAAATCGATGTCTTAATTTTAAAATTAAAGCAAATATGTACATCCTCAATTTAATAGCGCTGCATATGCACAGAGGATTCTAAGTTCCTATAATTTATGTACTCTATTTATTGTATCAATTCTAAAAGTTGCTCAGCCAAATTTATTAAATGTAATTATAATTTTTTTTTGATAATCGGAGTGTCTGGAGTTTTGCCTAAACTAATTCACGAAATTTCTTCACACGAATCGAGTAAAACTCAGACTATGTCCGTGATCGTAACTTCAAAAAATTGCTCACATTTAAGGAGAATCGAACTTGAAACCTGAAACTCAACAAGGCTCCAGGACCCAAATCTTTTCCACTAGACCAACCCGTTTGGGTTTAAATGTAATTATGTTGCATCATCTTCAAGTGCATAATTTATGAGGTGTGCAAATTGTTGGCATATGAAGATAATTTGAAACCCCATTGCTGGAGCAAGAAACCTTGACTTTGGTGCAAGCTTAATTTGAAACATAATTTTTGCGTTGGGCAAATTGTTGTTGTATGTAATTTTGTTGTTTTGTCTAACCTAACAACTTTAAATCGATAATGCAATAATTATATAAATGTGTTAAAATTTTAATTTAATGGTGTCATAATGTTTTAACATGATAAAAATGTTGAATGAGTGTTCTATTTTCAATAAAAATGTACTTCATTATTGTTCCATCATTATTGTACAAGTGTAGCATTTTATTATATAATTGTATTGCACCATAATATAATATGTCGAAATTAATAGCATATAATATGCATCAAATTTTTATTGTTAATTTAAATTTTGTTGAAACATTATTTAATAATTTAATTGATTGAGCGTCCTTATCCTGATCGCCGAACATTTCTGTCCTTGTCAATTCCTCCCTAATTTGTCAAAGAAAAAACAAAAAAATCAAATTACGTTGACCTTTCTTAATGGATTTTCGTTTGATAATGTTGTGAGCTACTGTGATTTTATCTTTTTGCCCCCAACTTAATTGTAGCAGAGATTTTTGATTAATTTTTCCTTTCACAGAGTAAAAGTAATGACAACGGTAAATTTGTGATTTCGTAAGTTTATCAAACGGATAAAATCGTGTTACTACAAGCGACTAAAATAACACTAAACAATTCTATCCAGAACACAGTAAGAAAATTGTTTCAATAGAGCATGACATTTATTTCCAAAACTAACACAACATTATTCAGTAATTAATCATCATGTTCATCAAAACTCATCAACGGTGCGGATTAGTCAACAGTGGGGCCTAGCAATATAACATAAAGTACTACACTGCACAATTAGTACCATATAATTTATGGCTTATTTTATATATATCTAGCCTTGATGACCAAAGGGAACATGCAATTTGGCTCCAGTGTGACAACCTTGACATTAATTAATCAAATGCACTTGAATAGGTAAATACACGTACGCCATATATTAATTTAGGCACCAAGGACCATAGGTTGGTCTGTAATTTACAAGGTACAGAGAAAATATAACATCGAACAAGTATGGTCTGACATATATAGGAGTTCAAAATTAGAAAAATATCCAAAGATGCGAAATTGTTGAGAGAGAAAAAGGATGGAATGAAAAAAGAAATAAAAAAAATCAATATAATAAAGAAATTATTATTAATTTATTTTAAAATATATATATATAAATAATGTCATGAGATTTTCAGTCTCTAGACTCTCTAATCTCTTATCTCACCAGAACAACTTAACCCTAACCGGCTTAAAGTTAGTCTACACTATCTTTCAACCTCTTGAGATTAAGAAAAATTTAAGTATGAGTTGGAATTCTCTACCATAAAATTGATTATACATGTGAATATTTTTATACATGCTATGAAGCATGGATACAGGTACACAAATAAGGCGACACGGCAAATTTTAAAAAAATAAGACACGGACACGACATGATACGCTAATAAAATTATATATATATATATATATATATATTCAAAATTCATAATACCATAAATTTAATCTCCCCTAAAAAATATTGCAATAAAAGAAATACTTCAATTCATCATCTAAACAATTAAAAACCTAGCAAAGTTATCAACAAAATTAGACAAATAAAATCAAATACATTTCCAACATGTTTAACATTCTTCATTCATCAGTTTATTATCTGTGTAGTTGTTTTTAAAATTTTTCAAACTTTTACTTTTAAACATTTAAAATTACATTAGGTACTTCTATTTTCTTAAAAAAAAAATTACAAAATATACCTCACCGTATCTAATGCATGTCCTTCGCGTGTCCAATTCGTGTTTAATAAAAAATAATTTTTAAATACTCAACACTGAAGGTGCCGAGATTTATGGAATGTGGTGCAGCTAGCAACGGAGAGAATCCAGCTCATGCAAGTATTGTATATGTTGATGTGAATTACCCTGCATGCATTTCCGTGTACTCCATATTTATAACCAAACCTGCACCACGTGCAACCCTCTAGCAGCTTTGTAATTAACGTTCCCTCAACTTCATGTCCACTCTGCCACGTCAATGTTAACCAATTCTAAAAGCAAAAGATGAACACCCACTCCATGTTAAGAGTTGAGTGGGAGCCACATACTATGCATTTGATTCGTTCACAAGCAAGATGTTACTCTAATCAAGTCTAGTTAGTAAGAAAATTTGAAAAAAAGTGACGCTAAGAATAAAAATATATATATATTACCGTGTTTATTAAGAATAAGTAGTTAACCTTGTAATAAGAATGCTTTCATTTTATTTCTTGTCACATATATTTTTTAATTTTCTTAAGACAATTCCAACAAATAAAAAGGGAACTGTATGAGTTAGGTGGTGAGTTCTGCTGTGTTTAGACCGACTGTCAAAATTGAAAATAAATAAAAAAGTTTTACTCACTTGACTTTGGGTGATTAATCTTACTTAACACCCGTGATTTGTGAACAATGACAATGGAATCTCTAATTAAATAGACAGCGATAGATCCATCCTTCACTACACGCACGCGGAAACTTAGAGAGACAAAACACTTTGATTTCGTTTTGGAGAGAGAAAATACACAGTCACACACACACATATATATCTCTATAGTGAGAGAGAGAGAAATGGGGGATGGTTTATGCCATGTGAGCAACAGCCTCTTCCACGCCCGCCAAATATATGTAACCTTCTTCCCTTCCTTATTTCGTCTTTTTACTCTCTTCCCCTTCTTCCTCTCTCTCTCTCTCTCTCTCTCTCTCTCAAACAAAATCCCACTTTCTCTCTCTACAACACCAGCTCTCTCTATCTCTTTCTCTCTCTCTCATGGCAGAACTGAAATTAAGGCCGAAGAAACCAGTCCCCTGAAGGGCCTGACCTCAAGATGAAAACTGTAGATAGGACTCCTCACTGTCCCCACTCTCTCAGCTCAAAAAGTCCATTCTCTCTCTATCACTTCCTCATACTCCTCCCCTTCACCTTTCTCTCTCTAAAACCTTCCTTAGCATCCACTAATGGACTCTTCACAGACTCTCAACTACTCCAGAACTTCAAAGCCTCACTACCAAACCCAGATAAACTCCAAAACTGGGTACCCAACAACACCCCCTGCAATTTCACCGGAGTTTCTTGCCGGAACTCCAGAGTATCTTCCGTCAATCTGACCGATACCCATCTGGGTATCGATTTGTCGTCCATCGCAAGGTTTCTGATAACACTTCCCAATTTGGAGACCCTTTCGCTGAAGAGCACGAACCTCACCGGCTCTGTATCTCCGGTGGCCAAGTCCCAATGCTCCGCCGTTTTGAGCACCGTCGATCTGTCGGATAACGGCCTCTCGAGTCCGGTCTCAGAGCTCTCGAGCTTCGCGGCATGTTCGAGCTTGAAGTCTCTGAACCTCTCGACTAACTCCTTCCATTTCACGGCCGGTTCGAAGCAATCCAATGGTCTGCGACTCAATTTACAGGTTCTGGATCTTTCCCACAACCAGATTTCGGGTGAAAATGTCGTTCCGATGATGTTTTCCGGCGGCTGCGGTGACCTTCGGTACCTGTCAATGAAGGGTAACAAGCTCGCCGGAGCTGTTCCGCTATCAGATTGTCAGACTTTGGAGTATCTAGATCTCTCCGACAACAATATCAGCTCGACTTTTCCGTCTTTGGAAAATTGCTTGTATTTACAGCACTTGGATTTATCGTCCAACAAGTTTTCCGGCGACGTTAGCGCCGGACTCTCGGGTTGTGAAAGCCTCACTTTCCTGAATCTGACGAAAAACCAGTTTTCCGGCGAAATTCCGGTGCTTCCAAGTGGAGGAAAACTGCAGTCGGTGTATCTTTCCCTCAACCATTTCACCGGTGAGATACCTATGCACCTTACCCGTTTGTGTTCGAGTCTGATAGAGTTAGACATCTCTGCTAACAATTTGTATGGTACTGTTCCTGATACTTTTGGTGTATGCTCTTCTTTAGAATCATTTGATATATCTAACAACAACTTCTCTGGTTTATTACCCATTCAAACCCTTCTAAATCTCACCAATTTGAAGACTCTGGTGTTGTCATTCAACAACTTTGTTGGTGGGTTGCCTGATTCCTTGATGAAACTGACAAATTTGGAGACTTTCGATGTGAGTTCTAACAGTTTGTCTGGTTCTATTCCATTGGGACTTTGTAATGACCCTAGAAACAACATGAAAGAGCTCTATCTTCAGAATAACAAGTTCACTGGTCCGGTACCGGATAGTTTAAGTAATTGTTCGCAGTTGGTTTCGCTTGATCTGAGCTTCAATTACCTCAATGGGACAATCCCATCTAGCTTGGGTTCCCTCTCCAGCCTTCGCGATTTGATCATTTGGTTGAATCAGCTTCATGGGGAGATCCCAAAAGAGCTGATGTACATTCAAGCACTCGAGAATCTGATTCTTGATTTCAATGAATTGACTGGGACAATCCCTGCTGGTTTGAGCAATTGCACCAGTTTGAATTGGATTTCCTTGTCCAACAACAGGTTGAGTGGTGAAATTCCGGCCTCCCTTGGTCGTTTGGCTAATCTAGCAATCCTCAAGCTCGGGAACAACTCCATTTCCGGGAGCATACCTGCAGAGCTTGGGGATTGTCGAAGCCTGCTATGGTTGGATCTTAACACCAATTTGTTGAGTGGGATTATTCCCCCTGCTCTGTTCAAACAATCTGGCAATATTGCGGGGTCTGTGCTCACTGGGAAGAGGTATAAATACATTAAAAATGATGGCAGTAAGCAATGTCATGGAGCGGGGAATTTGCTCGAGTTTGGAGGAATCAGAGAGGAACAGATGAACAGAATTTCCACGAGGCATCCCTGCAATTTCACTAGAGTTTATGATGGTGTCACTCAACCGACTTTCAATCACAATGGTTCGATGATTTTTCTTGACATTTCCTATAATATGTTGAATGGTAGTATTCCAAAGGAGCTCGGATCCATGTACTATCTCTCTATATTGAATTTGGGGCATAATGAACTCTCTGGCCCTCTTCCTCAAGAGCTTGGAGGTTTGAAGAATGTGGCAATTCTTGATCTTTCGTATAATAAGCTTAATGGGTCAATTCCACAATCCATGGCTAGCCTTTCATTGCTTGGCGAGATTCATCTGTCGAACAACAATCTCTCTGGAATGATTCCTCAATCCCCTCCATTTGATACGCAGCTGGATTACGGATTCCTGAATAATTCAGGCCTTTGTGGGTACCCTCTTCCTTCCTGTGGGGCAGATTCTAGCTCAAGCTCGAATAGCCAGCATCAGAAGTCTCATAGGAGACAAGCATCACATGCAGTGAGCTTGGCGGTGGTAGTATTGTTTGCCCTCTTCTGCATATTTGGTTTGATTATAGTACTGATCGAAACGAAGAAAAGAAGAAAAAGGAAGGATGCTGCCCTTGGTACTTCTTATATGGACGGTCATTCCCATTCAGGCAATGGAAATACTAACTGGAAGCTTACGAGTGCACGGGAGGCATTAAGCATCAGCCTTGCAACATTTGATAAGCCCCTCCGAAAGCTCACGTTTGCAGATCTTCTCGAAGCCACAAATGGCTTCCATGACGACAGCCTTGTAGGCTCTGGTGGCTTTGGTGATGTCTACAAAGCCCAATTGAAAGATGGTAGCGTTGTGGCTATCAAGAAACTAATACACGTTAGTGGGCAGGGGGACCGGGAATTCACAGCCGAAATGGAAACCATTGGGAAAATCAAGCACCGGAACCTTGTGCCTCTCGTTGGCTACTGCAAGGTGGGAGAAGAACGGCTATTGGTTTACGAGTACATGAAATATGGAAGCCTAGAAGATGTTTTACATGACAGAAAGAAAATTGGGATCAAGCTAAATTGGGCTGCAAGGAGGAAGATTGCTATTGGGGCTGCAAGGGGATTGGCTTTCCTTCACCATAACTGCATTCCACATATAATTCACAGGGATATGAAATCTAGCAATGTCTTGCTGGATCAGAATTTGGAAGCTAGGGTCTCTGATTTCGGTATGGCAAGGCTCATGAGTGCCATGGACACCCACTTGAGTGTCAGCACATTGGCAGGCACTCCTGGTTATGTCCCTCCTGAATACTACCAGAGCTTTAGATGTTCCACGAAGGGCGATGTTTACAGTTATGGTGTTGTCCTGCTTGAACTGCTAAGTGGGAAACAGCCAACTGATTCAGCTGATTTTGGTGACAATAATCTTGTGGGGTGGGTGAAGCAGCATGCCAAAATGAAAATAAGTGATGTTTTCGATCCCGAGCTATTGAAAGAGGACCCTATCCTAGAGATTGAGCTACTACAACACTTGAAGGTAGCTTCTGCTTGCTTGGATGAACGGCCATGGCGACGTCCCACAATGATTCAAGTCATGGCAATGTTCAAAGAAATCCAAGCAGGGTCTGAGATCGATTCCACCACGTCCACCATTGCTGCCGATGATCAAAGTTTTAGTACAGTTGGGGGAGGGGTAGAGATGAGTATAGAAGAGGGCAACGAGTTGACCAAGCAATAGATCAACATTTCCAGCAATTTCCTAAAATTCCTTGAAAGGAAGAAGAAGGGGATGATGATCTATTGAGCTCCCAAATTTCCCCCCTTTTTACCTGTTTAAAATCACTTCTGTATTTATACCAGTTAATGTATGTACCTTTAGTCCCTTGAAATTGTTGGTATTACACATAAAAGGTTGTTCAACTTGTAACACTGTACATATATAATTTCGTGTGGTTATGCTCTTTTTTGTTCTTAGTTTTCCACTTTTTCTTTCAAACCGAACATGTGATTCACTTATAAACATCAAAAAGAGCAGTTGGATCTATGGTGCCTGGATTCTTTGTTATTACAGCACGTATGTCGTGCTAGAGTGAACGATCAGATCATTCATACTAGGAAACCCGAAAGTGTTGCCCAAAACACCTGTCAATTCAAGTATGAACTCAACTTGCAGATTTAAGAAGCCCTAACTTATGGCTGAGGTGGGATCCATCTCCTTGTGACGATCTTTGACCAAACCTCTGTGATCACAATCTTAAGTAAAACCCAAGTGGACTTGGTTTATTTTGCATTCTTAATTAATGTGAAAAATGTAGAAGGGGATGATGAAATAAATATTGGGTCGGATTAAATTACATATGGTATAGAATTTCAAGTCCTTGTATCCCTCAACAACATTTTCTGATATCCACTTTTTCCCTCAACCCTCTATTGAATTTAAGAATTTTTTTTCACGCCCATCATGCTAATCAAAATTTAATTTTGTCCGACAAATTTATTTTGGATAATATTATTTTTTTGGAGGACTAGTCTAACAATGAATCTTGTAAATTGTGAGTTCCTCCTAAAGTTATTGAAGATTGTAAAAATAATAATTTAAATAAAGCATTGCGTTGATACTGTTTCTATGTAACATAAAAGTGAACACACAAGACAAAACAAATGCAAAAACCCTACAATTTAATACAATTCATTTCCTTTGAGCGTGCATGCTCTGACGCACGTGCATGGGATCTTGCTTGACAACCTTGCATCACAACATTGTGGGGTTCCCATAAACACAAGTGGGCACATACCCTAGAAGTTATTAATCCATTAGAGGATAGCTATGGGACCAAATACAGTGATTTATTTTTAGGGCAAGATCATAATAATAAATAAGGTCACAATATTGGAGCACACCACTTGAAAACCATATTCATGAACTTCTTGAATAATTTGCTCAAAAGGTATTCAATTATAAGGCCGGTCCATCTTTGAATAGGTCCAAATCTCATGATTCATTCACCCAAATATATATATATATATATATATATATTCAGATTCACAATTTTCAATGCCAGTTTAGAGATTATATAAAACTCAAAGTTTGTCTCGGCAAATTAAAAAAACCACATGCATGTTGGTAGATACCATGGGTTATGCATGAGAAGGAGACAAACTTTGAGTTTTATATAACCTCTAAACTGGCATCTGAATATATTCACAATTTATATGTGTGTGTGTGTGTGTGTGTGTGTGTGTGTGTGTTAAGTGACTTTGTCTGCCAGCATGCATGAGGCTCAAAAAAAATTGTATGCTTCATTGTCCAAGATTTATATCTTCAAGTCCTAGAACACCAGCTTGACTTTTCTTTAGTCATCACTTTACTTACACGGCTAAATTAATGAACCAGAAGCTTTTATATACACAAGGTTTTTATTTTATAATTTCACAAATTTTTTTTTTTTTTAAATCCTGACAAATTAAAAGAAGGGGATCAAACACATTCGTTCAGAAATTTGAAAGTTTTATTAATTAGATAACTGAATAATGTCCGAACCTTTCACTATTCATAAATCTCTCTACCAAAACTCTAATGTGACTTATTAGCTAAAAGTTTTTTTAATTAGGCAGGCTAGCTTATTAACTTGAATAAAATGTTATCAAAATTTGAAAAATTGTCAATGGCTATCTCCTCCTCCTCTCTCTGTGTATTAAAGATTGGGGGTGCATTACTTACAAATTAAGTAGTCCAACTTGAATTTTGTAAGGAAGAAAGGGCCATTAAGTATGGGTAGTAATTTTTTGTTGCAAAAAACTAGCGCAATTATTTGGCTTTATTGAAATAGGAATTCACGCCATTCTCTTTTAAATGAACTAAATATTAGTATTATTGATATGAGTTTAAATCTCAAAACAACTATTTATGAAATCATGTTTGTTTCGAGTTTATGAACTCATGTTTATTTCAAGTCTTTCCTCTTAAGAATTAAAATGTTACTTGCTTAGATTTAAAGTTGTATAACGTAGAACAAACAGAGTCTAAAATGAAAATGCAATAGAATTTGGAATAACGCTAATAATAAGGCACACAGCCGCATATGTTGTTCCCTTTGTATAGATTAGGGCACATGTTGCATTTGTTATTGTAATTGTTTGGATTTGTGGTATTTATTAAATAAATGGTCCACTTGTTTAGTTTTGTGATTAATTATCCAATTAGTATTTGAATCTCAGATCCCAAGGTATGAGAAATGGTTTATTTATTTATTTATTTTTATAAACAAACTTATCTACTAGCAAATATCTTAGAGGATTGTCCTTGTAATGAAATAGCTGTGTTATTGAAGGAGTAGACATTTTTTGTTTGGTCCCGTTGGGCGTGGGTTACAGCTACTTGGTTAATTAATTCTTAAACATTAGTACTCATATTTAATTAATACATATGTCATTTCGTAGTCCTTTTCGTACTAATAGTACCTTATTATCATATTCATGGCTTTAATTTTAAGCACCAACTCGTACAAATTTGACACATTTTATACATCAAGTTCTGTATCAAATTGTTGTACTTGCATCACATCAGAAAAAGAAAACCACATTAAATTGATCGAACAATTTTTTTTAAAAAAAATTAATAAAGGGTTAATTGCATTAAACCTCCCTAAACAATTTTCTCTTTCTCAAAAAACCCCCTGAACTATTCCGTTTGTTACAAAATGTTAGTTGGCCATTTGAAATCTAACGCAAAGAAAGGCAAGTTTGTCACGTGACTTGGCAAATATTCAGAAAGACAAAAATAACCTTATAATTAAATGAATATTATATATACGAGTATATATATATATATACACACGCGCGCGTCCACCTTCTCTCTCCAACCACCTTCGTTGTCATCATGACCATCACCTCTACCGCCAGTCCATGGTTGCCACCGTCACCACCTGCCGCCGCCGCCACTGCCACCGCTTTCTCGCCCTCACAAAGATTCTTCTTCCTTGACAACCACATCCACCGTCCACACCCACTACCACCCCTATCTCTCTCCAATCCACCTCTCTCTTCTTCTTTTTTCTCTTTAACGTCATACTCCGTCACTGACGAGAATGACGAAAAGGTGAAAAATCATTCAACAAAAATTGTTTGTTGCAAAGGTCAGTGTTTGGAGGGGAATTGATTAAAAGAATAACGAGTATTTTTTGGGCAGTTGCGATTGGATTGGTTTGGCGATCGGCCACAACAGTTTTTTGGGGCTTTTGTGACTGAATCTGTAGCTTTTACGATTGGGTCTTGCGGTTAACCCCAAGTTGCCAACACATTTGATAGCAGTATATAAGTTGTAGGATTATCAGGACAAAGCTTCACAAGCTTTCGCAGTAGCCGCCTTACCATGAACATGGGTTTGGATCGGATCAGTTCCACTAGAGGGTGCGGCCGTGAACGGTGGAGCTAAGGAGGAGGAGGGCTGCTTTGTCGGCGACAAGGGCTGGCCTCCATAGATTCCGGCAGCGATCCGCCTCGTGTTTGGGAGATTTGGAGAGGTTCGTGAAGAGGAGATTTATATATGTTAAAGACCTAGATATCCCACAAAGCTTGTGCCGGATGTTAGCTCCCCCATACTGCTGCAATGTGCAGAGATGGAAAGGAGAGAATGAACTAAGAAGGAAGAGAAACAGTGTTGTGCATCCAGGCCACTTCAGCTTTTCACGTGGGTCAATTTTAAAGTTCAGTGATTAAATGTATTTCTCATTTTTTTTTGTCCACAGTAAAATTATTAATGATAGGATGACTTGTCAAATTTTCATTGGATATGGAGATTACAAAGGCCACATCAACTAAAGTTGGATATGTATAATGGGCAAAACGGTAATTTTAGTTTTTAGTTAACGGTTGTTTAACACCTTGGGGTTAAATGCAACATTCTTTTAGTTTAGGGGGTATTTTTTAGTTTAAGGGGGTTTCTTGCAATTGGCTCATAATTGAGGGGGGTTTAATGCACTTAACCCATTAATAAATAAAAACTTATATATCAAAATACATTGTACCTAAAGAAAAGAAACATTGAATAGGATGACTCCTTGAATATATATTTAAGTGGAGTTCAAACGTGTACTATTTAAATGTACCCAATGCACGATATGAATACAAATTTATACTTTTTCTGTTCTAAAAAGAATTATTATGTTTTTCTTTTTGATCTGTCCTAAAATATTTATTACTTTTCTTTTTTAAATAATATATTTTACATATTTTCATATATGTCCTTGGAGTTTAAAATTTCAAATTTACAAATTCAAAACTTAGAAGAGCAAATTAGTAACTTTACAAGGAGATAAGACATGTCCCACATGTCCTTTTAAAAACTCCTACTCCCCAAAAATGACATCTAAATTGGAACAGAAGGAGTATTATTTTATTTAAGTTTCATTTAAATTTAATGGTAAAGAAGATACGCTGATCGTTTTTGCTAAAGAGAAGTATTGATTCATCGAGGGATGTGATTAAAGCACTCAACAATATGTATTAATGTCTGTTTAATTCACAGTACTCCGTAATTGTATTATACAGTAGAAGAACACTAATATGAGACAGAGAGATAAGTAACACCAGGACGATATTTTTATGTGCTACCCTATCATACAAGAAGATGTTGGGTGCCCTAGGCATGCCACATCATTAGCATACTCGGTCAATAAAAGTATATCATTATATGAAGGGATAAGTACAGAAAATAGCCTTAGAGTATACTTTTATCCCTATTTAAAAAAATATGCAGAAAATATCCCTAATCTTTTCACATTGTGCAAAAATACCCCATCTAATATAAATTAGTACTGTAATACCCATTTTGCCCTTTTATTCTTTCGAAAATGCCCAAGGGGGTATATATGCTACTAATCTCATAATATAGGGGTGTTATGTGTACATTACCTTACATATATATTTTTTAAAACTTTGAGAATTTGTATAATAAGGATTTGAATTTTTTGAGA